GGGAATTCCAAAGTATAATGAAATGGAATTATCTACCTTCCCGAATTTTCTGCCTAGGCACATAGGGGTGAAAGTTTATTCCTCATGCAACATGCATACAGATTCATTCTCACGGATTGCTTATGCTAAATCCTGCCTCTTCAGCTGTAGATGTGTGTTTGTGGCAATTGAAATTGACAAGGCCGGGACACAAGGGATCTCTTTCTCTCTCTCTCTCTCTCTCAGAGATCTGTGCGTCTGTCTGCGAGTCCAGTTGTTCAAGAACTCCTCGTAAATGGTGAGAGCTAGGGCCACCACATTTGGTAGGCAGCTTCCACTTCTCCTAAATTAAAGCAGTCAGCTTTTGGTTGTGCCAGGACAAGTGGAAGCACCAGGAAAAGGGCTGTTTTCCATAACATGCAAAGGGAGGGGCTGCTGTTCGGAGGCACGCGATATGAGAGTAGCCGATGGAGGCAGCGAGCCCACAAGGGAGAGCTATCCTGTAAGCGTCCAGTGGGGGCAGCTACACCACCAAGGCTGGAGCTCCGCCATCTCGCCTGCCAGCTGGGTAAGGAGCCCCTCTGCCCCCCCCAAACCCTTTCCCCCCTCTCCTGGCCATTAGCTGCAGTGCTGGAGACGGGGAGAGAAAATGCCCCTGGCAGCTGTGGTGGGGCTGGGGGGAGAAAAGACCCACGCCAGATGGGAACCCCACCTTGAGCCCCTCCTTGCCCCCCAACACTCACTCTTGCACCCCCCTACCCCCAGCCTCCTGCACCCACCCACGCCATCAGCTCCCTGCCCTGAAGAACCCAGGCACAGTCTTCTGGTTAATAGATATGCATAATGGAACAAACTCCTCTCTGGTATAACTCCCTTGCCTTTGGTGGAATTACACTGGGGATGAAAGGGGCCCTACACATGCATGTTTAAAGTGAGGTTAAACGGTGCTTTTACTCCGCAGTGCCTGGCAATGTTTCTGATGACTGTGACCGAGGGATTGACGGTACCTGTGCACTCAATGTCTCCAAGGGACTTTCCACTCTTGGAAAAGCCATGAGAGGCATCCCTCGGGGGTCTTCAGGCTTCGGTTTAGAAGGAGCTCCATGTGTTCCTTTAAAGTTGTGGACAACACACATTCCCTGCATGGTGTAGAAAAAAAGAGCGACATCATCATGTAACCTCCCCCAGTAGGCAAGAGCTAGAACCGCTTCTTTCGGGCATTCACTCAAAACAGGACATTTGGGTCCTGATCCAAATTCTGCCTAAGTTTTGTGCTCGCCCGGAGAGGGATTTGATCCCAAACCATCCCCTTATCAGAATTGAACTACTAGTGATGTGACTGACATAGCTGTGAGCAAGGGCCTCTCAGTAATTTGGCCTGTGTAATTATTACCTGTGGATATGAACCATTCTCACTCTTATTTCGTTATGCCCCTAGGGAACAGAAGCCTTGATTATAACTGTGTTACTCTGTTAGCCCCGCTGACTGTCCAGGCCAAATTTTGCATCAGGGTATGTAGTGTACAGGCAAGTAAAACTCAGGACTTGCCATTCCATTAAAACTGCAGAGATCACTCCCGGATGACACCTGGCTCAATTATTCACAGGTTTAAAACGAAGAACATGCCAGTATCCTGCCCAGTCCAAGACACACTTGCACATTCTATGCCTGATCTGTGATGCGTCTTGGTAGGGGCCTGCTGCATTTCTGAAAGGATGTTTCACTGGAGTTACGCAGTCTCAGACCTTTCCGGTCCCTGGGCAGCACCGCATGTTTGTTTCTAAGCATTCAAAGGCAGAGGATTCTGGAGGTTTTGGGATGAATTTTAACTCATTCAGTGGAACGGGGCACACTTCTCAATTCAAAGGCATGAATCCACCATAGGAGGGGGAGAAAGCGCCCAGTAACCCACCACCTGAGCACAATCTTACAACCCCTCCATGCATAACTAATGCAAGAACAAGAAATCTGGGGTTTCATTCAAATAAATGTTATCCATGGACACTGTGAGCATCCAAGACCCATTGGCTTTTGTGCGGGAGGTCCCTGTGGCTTCACTGATTATCCCATGTCATCTGATGGGGTGCAGAGCCACTCTGAACCCCCAAACTCAAGTGCCAGAGTGGGAGAGGTTAGTCTTCCAGATAGGCCCCGCTTTTGAGCCAACCTGATTTTCCTCTATGTTACATTTGGTTTAAGTTTGTGTCATTCCCCTGTAACAAAGTAGAAAACCAGGCATTTTGTTTAGTGCTTCATGCACTCAAACTATGATCTCGAATCCCACATCTGCCAAACTACAGACAGCCAAGGAGGCTGTGAAGTATGGGTGCCATGAATCTCATAGGCAGCAGCCTTAGGGTTGCATGCCAGAAACACTTTCCCAGGACAACCTCGGAGTCAGCCCTTTGCAATGGCTAAAACAGTACTGAGAAGTGTGTAGACGCCCATCTGACCTCACATTAGCCCTATTAGTTGATATCACCCTGGTTTTATGTTAGGATTTGCTCGGAAGAGAAATCCAATGAGCTCGGATGGGGTTGTGGGTTGAGTAATCAGGTTTGAAAGACAACTCTAGGATTAACTTAAAAAACAACAAATGGTCTGGTAGCACTTTAAAGACTAACAAAACATGTCGATGGTATCTTGAGCTTTCGTGGGCACAGCCCACTTCTTCAAATGACCAGGACAAGACATCCAACACACCGGTCATCAGAAGAAGTGGGCTCTGCTCACGAAAGCTCGTGAGACCATCTACATGTTTTGTTAGTCTTTAAAGTGCTACCAGACCATTTGTCGTTTTTAAAGTTTTTCCTGTTACAGACTAATTCGGCTACCCCTCTGAAACTTTTGAACTCTAGGATTGTTATGAGAATTTTTCTTTGCCTTTAGCTTGCCCTGAAATCGGGTGGGAGATTGGCTTACCAGAAACAACGCTACTGCGCTTCCCAAGATGAAGCCGGCAATCACATCCGAACAGTGGTTTCGATACTCGGAAACTCGGTTTAGCCCGGTGAGGAAGGCAGCACAGAGGGTCCCCAGACACAGCACGGGCTTTGCTAGCCTGCTGCTCTTTGTTTTAATTGTGCTTGTGATGTACATCTGAAACACAGCGCAAGCCACGCGTCAAAGAGCTCGGACAAACGTACAGGTCACGTTTCATCGACACATATTGCACCAAGCAGGGATGTGACAAATCCGATGTTCTGAGCCCCTGAATACTCAGGGGTTTGGGCAGCTCAGAGAGGGGCGTCGGAAGGGAACACAGATATTGGAGACGGGTGGCTTCAACATATCCAACATCCACTGGGTCCTGCCATGAGGGCAGGGGACTGGACTCGATGACCTCTTGAGGTCCCTGCCAGTCCTAGTGTTCTATGATTCACTCAACCACATGCAAAGCGATGGGGCAGTCTGAGATGGGCATAGTTCTATTGGCTGCTGAATGCTTACAGAGGTTGTACCTCGCAACACCAGCACCCTCAGGACCTGAGTGGTGCCGTACCAGAAAATTTGTCAAACCAGGGGAGGTCAATATTATCTGGCAGCATTACCCACACTTCCACTGCTTGCTGGGCTCTTAAAAGTCATTTAGGGTACATCTACGCAGCAGTGTTATTTTGGAATAACTGACATTATTTTGAAATAACAAAATGAACATCTACACAGTAATCCATTATTTTGAAATAATGGTGAGTTGGAGGACTTCTTACTCCAACTCCTGTAACCCTCAGGAGCAAGGGAAGTTGAAGGTAGAGTACTCTTCCTTCGACTTCCTGCTGCGTAGACAGCGCCAAAAGCCGAATTAAGGCATTTCGACTTCATCTATGCAATCGATGTAGCTGAAGTTGCGTTTCTTAATTTGTAGACATGCCCTTAGAGTTCAATTAGAGCTAAGTAACAGCACAGAACACTGAGAGCCAGGACTATTGGCTAAAAACAAACTATATGGGACTACGGGGAACTTGGCCATACCCATGATAAGTGGACATCCAGCTAATTAAAATCTTGTCGGATCACGGATGTTGCTGGACCAGACTGTGCCTGATGAGAGAGGTTCAACCTGTATTGCATACAGGCTATTGAGTGTGGGTATGTAAGTCAGATGCAAATCCTCAATTTCTGCAGACACATACCCAAGCTAACTAGGGATATGAACGTGTAAACGTGTACATGGTTAACCGATGAGTCTGGGCTCATTGGTTAAGTGTCACAGTTACATGCAGGCCCCTGTGGGGAGCTGACTTTAATCCAGCTCCCCATGTGTACAAGCTTCCAATGAGACACCTGCTTCCCCAAACTGCCTCTGTATCAGAGGCAACAGCGTGGGGTTGAGGGGTGCAGGCGGAAGCCGGTGCTCGTAGGGAGCTGGCTTAAAAGCTGGCTCCCTGTGCACACCGGCTCCTATACAGCCACCCCCCAGCATGAAAACATAAAACCACTGGAATTTTCAGCGGTTACATGTTTACCTAAACAAACACATTATAACACCCCTAATGCAAACTAGGTGTGCAAGTGACTGAGTAACATCCATTTGAAAAGCAGACCCTGGGTGTTAAGAAGCAACCCAATCATGCCGTTTTGCCTGCAAGGGCTTTTGTTTTGACTTTGGGACTTAAATAAGTGACAGAAGTGGAAAAGAGTATGGGAGGGTTTGTTGCTGATTTTAAACAAATAGCTCTGAAAATGTAATTGCATGGTAAGAAGTTTTCCTGTGCTCAGAAATATCTATTCAGTAAACTCCACAAGCTGTGTCAGCTCATTTTTAAAGGCATTTTTGACAAAGAAAATAAACTAGTAGAGGAGCAATTAACAGCCATGCACTAATTTCAGAGCCTGTGATTACAGAAGTAGCATGAATACAAAGCTACTGTAACAACAAACAAAATTTGACAGCATAATGATAACCAAGTAAACACAATGGAATCATCCTCAGTGATAGGTTAAGTGTGAATTTCTTTATGCCTTCCAAACACAGCTTGGCTTTGTTGAGCAAAGCAAATGCATCCAGAGCACTATTACTTTGCTTGTCAAAAATGTCTCCAGCCACAGATCTCTCTGGTGTGCTAAAAACACTAGGAACTGCCGTCCTCAAGGATGAGGTGGGGGCTTTTGTCAAGGGAGCGGGATGATCAGGACGATCCAACTGTAAAATTAATTGGTAAGATATTACCTGGTACATAGCGACCTATAAGCTGCTAGCTTGTAAATGGACCTGAGCCACAAATGATGGGACTAGTGCAGGGAAAGTGACAAATCCACCGATGTACCTTATGGGCTAGAAG